TGCTGAAGAGTCAATGAGTCGATGCAATCAGCTGGTTTTCCTTAGATAGAAAACTTTGAATCAATCTGACTGGATGATCTGGTTGATCTGGATCTATAAAGTGACCTGAGATGACATGATGTGAATTGGAGCTATAGAAATAAACTGAATAGAATACATTGTTTCCACAAACAAAAGCTTGAAAAGACCCAACTTGTTCCATTTGTATGGATGGAATAAAATGGCCGACTGAATACTCCAACAACTAGCTGCAGCGGTTAGCCGCCATGGTTGACCGGCGCTCTGGCCGCCGTTATTCCAGTCTGAACAGTCAGAACATTCTGGGGTTTATGCATCACATCTCGGGTCTGATCGGCCATTTGGTGGGATCACCAGTTTCCATGGAAACGGGCCACAGAGTCAGAAACAGATACCAGCAGCTTTATGGAAACACTGCAGGATCATTTTGCTACTGGCTGCAACCAGGAAGGAGGGATTTCCTGCAGAGCAGCCAATCAGAACCGTCCCTGTTCCGGTTCTAGATGCATCAGAACCGGAACGTTCTTCTGCTCCAAACTCGGATCTGCAGGAATCTAAGCCGTCCTGTGGGTCCAGGTGGACCTCCATGTCCTGGTAGGTCCACCATCAGAGCTCCGGGTGGTTCTTCTAGAACCAGAACCTCTCTGAGCTCCAGATGCTCCGTAAAGAAGCGGAACATCTGGAGCTGGACTCTGAGAGCCTTCTGGAGGATCGATGGGTTTTATTTGGAGCATCAGAGTAAAAGGGGCTCGCTGCAAAAGGCTGCCAGAGTTTTCAGGTTTTAATGATGTTAAATGTTTGTTGTGGGAGGAAACGTTCTGAGGAAACCTTCCTCTGTCCCTCCAGGAGCTTCACCGACCAGCTGAGGAAGATCTCAAAGGATGCTGGGATGCCCATCCAGGGTCAGCCATGTTTCTGTAAATACGCCCAGGGCGCCGACAGCGTGGAGCCCATGTTCAAACACCTCAAGATGTCCTACGTGGGTCTGCAGCTGATCGTTGTCATCCTCCCTGGAAAAACGCCCGTCTACGGTAGGAGCTGAGGGCCGCCCGCTGCTGGCATGGCGACTGTGATGATGATGACGATGATGATGATGATGGCGGTGTGTCTTCTGCAGCTGAGGTGAAGCGTGTGGGAGACACTCTCCTCGGCATGGCCACGCAGTGCGTCCAGGTGAAGAACGTGGTGAAGACGTCCCCCCAGACTCTGTCCAACCTCTGCCTGAAGATCAACGCCAAGCTGGGAGGCATCAACAACGTCCTGGTTCCTCATCAGAGGTGCGTAAGTCCCGGAACGCCCCGGAACGATTCCCAGGCCGTCTGACCAGCCGATCTGTCTCCATCCTCTCCAGGCCCTCCGTCTTCCAGCAGCCCGTCATCTTCCTCGGCGCTGACGTCACTCATCCTCCTGCAGGCGACGGAAAGAAGCCGTCCATCGCGGCGGTGGTGGGAAGCATGGACGGTCATCCCAGCCGCTACTGTGCGACGGTCCGGGTCCAAACGTCCCGGCAGGACATGTCCCAGGTAGCTTAGACCCAGCCGATCTCAGGTCCGGTCCGGTCCGATCCGGTCCAGTCCGGTCCGGGTCGATCCGGTCCGGTCCGGGTCGATCCGTTCCAGTCCGGTCCGGTCCGATCCGATCCGGTCCAGTCCGGTCTCAGACCTGTGTTCGCTCTGCAGGAGCAGCTCTTCAGTCAGGAAGTGATCCAGGACCTGACCAACATGGTGCGGGAGCTCCTCATCCAGTTCTACAAGTCGACGCGCTTCAAGCCCACGCGGATCATCTATTACCGCGGCGGCGTGTCTGAGGGGCAGATGAAGCAGGTGGGGGCGGAGTCTGTGCCGCCGGGAGCCGTGTGACGGCAGCAGGAAGTGTTTATGGAAGTGTCTGTGTTCCAGGTGGCGTGGCCCGAGCTGATCGCCATCAGGAAGGCCTGCATCAGTCTGGAGGAGGACTACCGGCCCGGGATCACCTACATCGTGGTCCAGAAGCGCCACCACACCCGCCTGTTCTGCTCTGACAAAGCTGAGAGGGTGGGTGCGAGCGGAGCGGAGCGCAGCGCTCGGTCCTGGTCCGGTTAGCACCGCCAGTCTGACTCTCCCATTGGTCCACAGGTCGGGAAGAGCGGGAACGTTCCGGCAGGAACCACGGTGGACAGCACCATCACTCACCCGTCCGAGTTCGACTTCTATCTGTGCAGCCACGCCGGCATTCAGGTAGCTCCGCCTTCCTCGGGTACATCAGCCCCACCTGAGCCCGCGCCGTCACTAACCGCCCTCTCCCCCTCCCTCAGGGAACCAGCCGCCCCTCCCACTACCACGTCCTCTGGGACGATAACTGCTTCACGGCCGACGAACTGCAGCTCCTCACCTACCAGCTGTGCCACACCTACGTCCGCTGCACGCGCTCCGTCTCCATCCCAGCCCCCGCCTACTACGCCCGGCTGGTGGCCTTCAGGGCCCGCTACCACCTGGTGGACAAGGACCACGACAGGTAGGTCCCCACGGTCCGCTTCGCTAGGAACCCATGGCGCCGTCCTCAGGAGGTCCTTTCAGAATAAAAGCTGCAGGGAAGCTGCCCACTAATGGAGTCGGTTTAAAGCCTCAGTGGGAACCGGTCCGTTTCAGCCTCGGAACCAGAACCAAACAAAGATCCAATCAGCTGCTGAAATCACTCAGAAACGACATTTAACCTTCTGTTATGGCAACAGATCAAATATCTTAGAAAAGTAAAAGATGCGGGACAAACTTTGTCTCTTTGTGCCGTTCTCCTCCTCGTGTATCAACAGGAAGGAAGCCTTTCAAAATAAAGCAAACCTGATAATTACCTCAGGCGTTAAATAGGCGTTCCCTCTCAGAGCGGGAACACGGTTGGTCATGTGCTTTTATCTTTTTTTTTTTTTCACTGGAAAAAATCCTCCATTATAGCTTTAATCACAATAAAAACGAAAAAGGCACCACACACACACACACACACACACAGAAACTCAAAATAATTCTATAACCCAGATGTTTATGCCTCCAACACACTGAATGATTCTAGACCTTTGAAGTTTCAGTGCCTTTATTAATTGATTGACTTAATTGGTTCCATCGCCTCAAATAGTCGAAGAAGAAGAAGAAGAAGCCAAAGGAAGAAAAGGTGCATGGGTCATATACAGTATATACAGGACGTCTACGTATCACAGCTTTTCCTCATTTATCGTAGAATTATTATTCAGGATTATTCTACAGGGAGATTATATAGATGGATATTTATTTATATATAGTTATTGCACTGGGTGTTAAATAGTAATTATCTCCATAGCAGCAGTTATTGCGGTTCTAGAGTCTCATTGTAGAGTCTGGTTGCAGCAGCATGAATGACCTACAGTAGCGCTGCTGTTTCCAGACGGGCTGTAAACGTCTTTGACTAAACGAGCTGCTCAGACTTTGCAGTTGAGTGATTTCTGACTCCCTGCAGGTTCAAATGTTCTACCGACTTTCATCTCATCCTTAAAGACGGACGGCGAAGTTAGACAGGTAACCTGTAGCCACGCCCCCATGGCTGGAGGGGCTAGAGGCCACGCCCCCTGGCTGCCCATGACCAGAGATGTAGTTACAGGAACGTCTCTGAGCCTCTGACGATTAAAAGGTTGTGTTCAGGTTCACCGTGTAAAAACCAGCTGCTGTTGGTGAACAGCGGCGGCGCTGCTGTGATAGACGGCCTTTAGCGGTGCGTTCAGGGCCGCGTGTTTATTCCACTCTGCTGTTGTTGTTGTTGTGAAAACTTTCTGGGATCTTTGTGAAGCTCTAAGATGATTTCCGTTGATGATGTCATTTCCTGTCCTCTGTGTCGTTGCAGCGCTGAAGGCAGCCATGTGTCGGGTCAGAGTAACGGCCGGGACCCCCAGGCGCTGGCGAAGGCCGTCCAGATCCACTATGACACGCAGCACACCATGTACTTCGCCTGAACGTCTCTCCGCTTCCCGTGGATCTTCTTCGCTCTCCTCTCTTCTTCATCTCTTTATTTTCTGCACCAAAGCGGCTCGGCCGATGGAGGGGGGGGTGCCGGCCGAGCCGCCTGTTCTCAACCAGCAATCTAGCACTGCGGGCCCCGCAGGGGCCCCGATGCACAACTGAAAAAACAAAAACAAACCCCACACCCCCCACGACCCGTCGAGCCATTGATTCTCGTTTGTTTTTGTTTTTTCCTCGATGAATGTCTGCGTTTGTCAGAAACTCTGAGCCGCGGAGCGCCGTCGCCTCCTCGGCTCTCCCAGCTAAGCAGGACTCTGATCTACTTTACCTCAAGGCCCCTCGGGGCCAAATCTGTCACAAGGTCTGGGGTTTGTCGGGTGGGTGGGAGGGCGGGGCTCGACCTTTTCAGAATGAAATATTATATATTATATTTTTCCTTTTTATGAGTGTGAGCTGAACCTTTTCTCCTTTTCAGTCTCTTACAAGCGAGGTGACCGTGTCCATGCTTTCCCTCATCTGTGTGTGCGTGTGTGTGCATGTGTGCGCGTGTGTGTGCGCGTGTGTGTGTGCGCGTGTGTGTGTGTGTGTGTGTGTGATGGCAGACCACTGAACTGTAACGGAAATAAGGAGCAAACTGCTGTAAATGCCTCAGATGAGCTGTTTTATATTCACACATATTAGCATATATGAGCACCGGCAGAGCGGCGCCTCCTGGAGGCAGCAGAGGGGATCTGCAGGGGTCCGGGGTCTGAGGTGTAGAAGGGGGTTTGGACCTGAAGGTGGCGCTGCAGGACTGGTTTATTGCACTGAGCGGCGGGCACTCTATCAGTCTCTTTATGCAGATGAAAGTTTAATATAAAGCGTGGCGGGTTTCCTGTTAGAAGCCGTAGTTTACTCTCTTCTTCTTCTTCCTCGTCGTCGTCGTCGTTGTTTATTGTTGTCGATGTTACTGTTGTGATGAACTTTTCCGGCTGGCGGCAGGTTTAATCTTTATTTGTAGCATATTGTGGCTGGCGTGAGGAGGAGGAGGAGCTGATTGGTTGGGTGTAGCAGCGTCGGATGGATGGAGACAATCAGAACCAGAGGAGGGATTTTAAACTAAACTCATCATAAAGTCTGTTTTTAACCGTCTTCGCTTCCTTGTTTTTATTTCCAAACACTGGACTAAATGAGCGGCGCATTAAGGCAGCGGAGCCCCCTGGTGGCGTGGCGGGGTGCAGCGGGGTCGGTGTGCACGCCTCATCCAGGTGGGGGCGCTCAGAGGAAACCCTTTGTAATAAACCGCCCATAAAGCTGCAGGTTTACTATGAATGAGTTTGAGCACCTTCCTGTTGGCGGCGTGCACGCTGGCGTGGCGGTGGCGGTGGGGGGGGGTTCTGGGCGACGGTGGATGTCTGTGTTTGTTTGCTCGTGTCAATCAGTGGGGACGTGCATTTGGTGGATTAGTGGTAGTTTAGAGCGTTTTCCTTTAACTGGTGTAGATTTGCTCGCCTGCATGCTGGATTATCGTCCTTTCAAAACTATTCGGATCATATTTATTATAAGAAAAAAGGTTTAAAGTTTGGGGGGAAATGTTTTATCATTTTAGTGGGACTGTTTCTAGTCTAGCAATATCTGTCCCGGGGCGGCTGTCCTGTCGGGGGGGTGGGGGGGCTCTTGGCGACGTGTTCGAATCCAAACGAGGTACTTTGATCAAACGTGGACCCGTTAAAGAGCCCGCCCCCCTCCTCTGGCTGTGGAGCCCGTTTCCATGGTGACGGGGCAGCGGCGCCGCTTTTTAACCTTTTTAAAGAGGCTCCCTGGATGTTTGTGGCGTTTTAACCGGAGAGCCGGAATTATTTTGGATTCCTCTCACTTTGATATCTGTTTATAACTCGATGGATTTGTAATTCTGTGTATTGTGCATTTCATTTTGTTTTTACCTCTTTGGTTCCTGCTGGGGGGGGCGGGGGGGTAAAGTCATTAAAGTGAAGCTTTGCCTCATGGGGGGGGGGGGGTTCTGTGGGACGGAGGAGCAGAAGGCCATTCACTTATTCTATTCTAATTAATGTTATGTGACATGTTATTTTTTTAGCCTGCAGGGAAATCTTGTGTTTATGTGCAAAGTAATAAATCGGTATTTTAAGCCCATCAAAGACTCCGCCTCCTTTCATCTGCTGAAGGTGTCCTGGCCACCAGGGGGCGCCCCTGCAGACATGGTTCAGTCCACAGCTGAAGCAAAGAAAACATTTTCTCTCTTTCTAGATCATAATGTCTGATTTTTTTTATCAGAGAAACAAAGTTTTAATCATCATAAATAAAATGAAAGATAAAAGTTCTGGATCCAAACAGAATCCACCGGTGTTCTGAGGTAAGTAAAATCTTACGGTACCAGCAGAGAGTTCTGGTTCCGGTCCATTTACCTTCCAAAGGGAGAAGCAGCAGGTTTCTGATGAAATCAAGGAAACCGGTTAGAACCGGTCCTCTGGCCCAGATCTGATGCTTCCAGAACCAGAGGTTCATTGACATGTTCATGACAAGGTGAGGTTGTCATGAACTGACGCTATGCAAATAAAGTTGAATTGTTTTGATTAAAAACTAGACGTCAGCCTATCAGCCAACCCGACACTTGATTGACACACAGGACAACCAATCAGATGACAAGCTTGTTAGCTTTGCTAATTGTTAGCTTTGCATCCTAATTTTTCGCTCGTTTAGAGTCTAAACTCTGCTCTCCAGAGCGAGTAGATTGGTAACCCCGCCTCCTGCTCTCCTCTATCTTGTCTGCTGTCATGATTCATGCAGCTATTATTTCATCCAAATGAAAAATGGAGAACAGATAAGCAGATCATGGCTTGTCTACAGTGAAAAGAAGGACTGGGTTATTTACTTTGGCCTTTTTGGAAACACAGGAAGGAGCAATCAGCTAAGTGAGCTTAGTGCTTGGAAAAAATCTTTCATTCCTTTAGAGACAGCATGAAAAGTCAGCTGAGTACAAAACATAGAGAGGAAAACAAGAAGAAAAGGGACAAGAAGAGAGGGACACAACCTAGAACAGATAATGGATGTCTATTCTATTAACATTTCTATATCTGGAGAATGGGGCTGTTTGATGTGTTTAGGCCCCTGACTGTCTTTGCCTAGGGCCCCACATTTCCTAAATCCGCCTCTGAGGCCTTATGGCCACTGAGGGGCGCTGTGGAGCTGCGGTGCTCCTCTTCCTCCTCCTCCTCCTCTTCCTCCTGACTCCTCCCATTGAAAGGAGCAACCATCACGCGCCTCCGCGTCCCCTCACGGCGGCGCGTGACCCTGACGCGCTCCAGTTGCGCAGGTCACATCCAGATGTGCGTCTTGCTCTGAACCAATCAGGTGCGGAGGGGGGGTGAGGGTGAGGATGATGATGGAGCGCGGCCCCCGCACGCAGGGAGTCTCATCGTGAAGAGGAGGTGCGCGGCCTGAGGAGATCCCGCCTCGTGCTCCCGGATCAGAGCTTTCTGTGGGATCAGTTCGGTTCCGGTTCGGTTTGCTGGTTTTCCTGCGGTACCTCAGCGCGCACGCGCTCAGCGCACCTCTGTCAGCAGGTGATGAAGGGAGCGCGCGCGGTGACGCGGCCAGAGTCTGAACGGAGGCGCTGAGGCGGACCGAACCGAACCGAACCGGACACAGCGGTGTTCGGGTTGGGAGGAGTCAACCCGGTTCAGCGGATCCAGGGAGCGATTCTCCTGGTTTGGATCGGAACCAGGTTTAAGGTAAGACTGAGTCCAGATTCTGCTGAGGTCCGTTCGGTCCAATTCGTTAGAGGTTCTGTTGATCTGCCGGTCCGGTCAGACTGGGACAGAACCGCCTGCTGCAGGTTCTGGTCCTGATGGATCCTGGTTCCGCCTCTGGTTCTGGTCCGGTGATCAGAACCATCAGGAAGTGGTCTACAGAAGTTCTGCTGTGAACTGGGGGGGAACCAGAACCGGGCCGGGGTCCAGTCTGGACCGTGTCAGCATTTGGGCCGGTTCAGGCTGGACCGACCCTGTGACCATTAAAAGGTTCTGGTTCCGCTTTGGAACAGGAACCAAACACTCCAGAACCGGCCAGGTTCTGTTGGATTGTTGTTCTGTCAGAACCTTGGTTCTGATCCTTCCTCTCTGATGTGGACCAGCAGCCCCTCAGCATGACGCTGCCACCACCGTGCTCAAGGTTCTACTGTCATTGGGTCAGGTCCATCAGAACCACTGGCCCGGTTCTACCGCACAGGAAGCGGCTCTCCAGGAAAACATCAGCAGTGAGTTCTGCAGACGTCTGACCCTGAACTGGACCGGTCCGCTAATGACAGAGTCTGGCTCTAATTTTAGCGCCGCTGAACCGCGGGCCCGGTTCCCACCAGAACCACAGGCCCGATTATAGGTTCTGGCTGCCATTACTCCCCGACCCAAACGGGCCTCCTGAATGATGTCGGACCCTCGTGGTTCTGTTGGGAAGCAGAACCTCAGTGGGTCCAGATGCAGAAAGTATTCACACCCTTAGATCTGCAGTTCTTCTGTTTCAGAACATCAGATGGTTCCTGAAGGCCAATCTGTTAGTAGAAGATCTACTCTCTATTACTCCAGGCTGACCTGGTTCTGCAGTCATTGGGTCCATCCGGGTCGGTCGGGTCGGTTCTGGTTCCTGGGTGGAACGGTCCTGTTTGGCAGACATGGTGGACGTCCCAGAAGTTCACGCCGCTCCAGAACCTTCCGTGGGGTCAGGGTTCCTTTGGGGCGTAATGAGGAACAGGAAGTAGTTTGGGTCAGAACCAGCTGCTGACCACCGACTCAGAAGTGGGTCGGTACCATGAAGAACCACGTCTTCTGGACCCGTCCTGGTTTCTCACTCTGAAGTTCCCCGCTCCCACAGCTGCACTCTGGGTCCCTGAGCAAGACCCTTAACCCCACACCGCTCCCCGGGCGCCGCACCATGGCAGCCCGCCCCAATGGCAGCCCGCCGCTCCCCGGGCGCCGCACCATGGCAGCCCGCCCCAATGGCAGCCCGCCGCTCCCCGGGCGCCGCACCATGGCAGCCCAGGACAGATCAGGTGACTCATCGGCGGCTCAAACGGGATGGACGCCATCTTCTCCTGGACCCTCTGATCCGGTGGTCGTCCATCTCCATCTGTTCCAGGTTCTCCTTCTAGAGGAGCATCTCTGTCAGATAGAAAGCTGGTTGGACGTCTGAGGGACCCTGGAGGAGGCGTGGTCCTTCTGAACCTTCATCATGGCTCCTCCCATCAGCTTCCTCATCCTCAGGACCTTCTGATGCAGGAGGAGGATCATCAGAGGTCAGAAATCCACTGAATTATTGATGAGGAGCGTCGGGTTGGGCCTCCACAGGTTCTCCTGCTTGGTTCTGATTGGTCGCTGCTCTGGAGGAACCAGAACCAGAACCAGTCTTTGCTGCTTCACCGAACCCAGAACCAGAACCAGGGGAACCTTGACCTCCAGGCTGCAGAACCCAGCGGCTTCATTTGGTTTAATCAGTTATTAGAACCTGGGGGCAGAACCCGGTCAAACCGGGATGACCCGGACCGCCTGGTGGTTCCTCTCAGATCAGCTGTTCTGGTTCTGTTACCCTGACAGAAGAGCCACAGTCTGAATCCGGATCAGAACCGGCGCCGTGTTGGTCAGTAGAACCTCTGAGTGTTCATGTTGGCTCCGCTCGGTTCTGTCTGTGGTTCCGCCAGCAGGCTGGGCCTCCAGGTGAGGCCTGAAAGCTGCCTTTGTGTGGCTGCTGGCAGGAGAGCCGCTAACGTACACCAACCCACCCCACCCCCCATAACGGGCGGGGGGGGGGCAGCACAGAGAGGTTCTTCAGTTCTGATCCACACAGACCCGGTTTTTCTGCTGGTTTTAAACACAGACCTGGTTTTTCTGCTGGTTTTAAACGCCGCCTGCTTCAGCGGATCTGCAGCCGTTTTTCTTCTTCTGCTGCTTTAATTGCTGCGTTTCTCCTGGATGTTTGGCTTCATGAGGAGAAAAGTTCAGTTACTCGTTTTTCCACCTGATTTCTGATGCGTAGGCAACGCGCCATGAACACGGGTTCTGCACTATTAATGTGTTGTCTTCCTTTCAATCTGCCACAACTAGTTAAACTAGTTAGAGCGTCTTAAAGCTATAGAGGAGGCTGTTTTATTTCCGGGTGGATCATCTCAGTCAGTGGTCCTCCTGACTGTCAATCATTCTGGTGAGATGTTTCCATACGGCCCTCCTTCGCGCTCGTCCCGTTAGCGATCTTTTTCTTTCAGGCGTAATCTGTGGTGAGCTACGGTTTCATTGAAGCTCACCTTTCTCACCGCGGTTGTTTGAAAATGGCCGACGGTCGGTAAGGAAAGTGTCCTTGAAGTGTATGAAAAGAAAAGAAAGGCCTCAGAACAGGCAGATATATCCCAGAATGCTTTGCTCAGAAAGCTCTCCTCCCAAAGCATTATGGGATTTTGCTGTTGCTACCCGACAGCTGTGGCTAATAACAAAGATGGCGCGGGCACCGTTCAGCGGAGGAGGAGGAGTTACGTGACCAACGGAGCAAAAAGCAGTGATCATCTGTCTGAACGGTCAGTTAACCGAGTTCACTATAAAGTTCACTATAGAGTCCCCGCTCTCTATAGTGATGGAGGGACGGTCGGACACGGTGAGCTGCTATGAGAACATGGAGCCCATTTCTCCTCGTGCACGCGCTCGCACGCGTTTAATTGGCGTTTCCTCTCGGGGGCGGGTACAGGGTTGTGCAAGTGCGTTTTTTTTTTAAGTGGAGAGGGCGGGTCTTTTCAACAATTTACACTAATCCTCCACTATACCTTTAAGAACACGTCGACTACACGGTGACGCATGTTAGTATGAGCAATTAAGCTACTTGTCCGGTTTGAGCAGCTGGTCGTCGCTTATTTCCCATTGGCTGCTGAGTAGTACTGTATGGCAAGCCGTTTTAACATTTATTTGCTTGATTGAATATTTAATCCACGTCTCAAATGCATTTCTCCAAAAATGAGCATTTCATTAGACAATAAGTTAACAACATGCAAACAGCGCAGAAAACGCGTGTTAATCGTGTTTCCTACGCGTCAGAAATCACGTGTCATCAAACCATTCGGCTTTCCATACAGAACCTCGCAGGTCTGCAGTTAAAATACGAACTTCGCAGCGATTCGTCTTTTTTTAATCAACACGGTTTAACTTTTAGCCACAAGGGGCGCTAGACCCGTAGCTCCCAAGTTAGCGCCCCCAAGCGGCCACTGACAGCAGTCTCTCTAAAGGAGCCGGTCCGTGTTCTGGTTCTGGTCTCAGACCAGTTTGGACCAGCAGGTCTGGAAGTCCTGGAGTTCCTGGTAAACATTCAGCCTCTGGATGAAATCCTCCATCCAAGCACCAGCTGAGGGTCAGAGCTAACGGCGGTTAGCTTAGCTTGTGGCGCTGTGGGTCACAGCGGGAGCATCGATACGCAGCAACAGCTGAAGACAGACCTGAACAACAAATGAGGCTAAAACTGGGGTCAAAGGTTACGCTGCGTAAACTCTTTTCTAACACAGATAGTCGATGACATCATGCTTCAGTAACTGATGACATCAGCTCCTAGCAACCGGCCTGCTCCAGCTAACCTCCACCATTCTGATCCAGTCATTCTGGCGGGAAGATGAAGCCGTTGTTTGGCTAACGGTTAGCCTCTCTGCTCTTCCTACCAACCAGCTCCCTGCCGCCGTGTGGAGGCGGGATGCAGATGGTCGAAACGCTAACTTAGAGGGTCTGCACCCAGAACCAGGGTCAGATTGAGACGGCGGGCTGCTGTTGGGCTGACGCCGCAGCCCCGCCCATCCGGCCCGCGGAGCGGCGAGGAGCGGCGCTCTGTCTAGGCACTGATCTGGGTTCTGTTCTTCTTGTCTGCAGGCGGCGCCCGTAAAGGACATGAGGCAGCAGAGGGAGTCGTCCTCCATCGGGCAGAGCGCGGCTGGATGGCAGCAGGAACGGCCGTCCCACAGCTGAGGAAGGAAGCTCTGAACCTCGGATCGGTCAGTCAGAGGTTGTCATGGTAACACGTCCTCCTCTGCCTCCTTGTTAGAGACTGAGGGGACCCTGGTGAGGCTGCAGAGAGTCCCCGGACCACAGAGACTCAGACCGCCGCAGCCCCCATGCAGGCGCGTAAGAAGTATGTCCTGCTGGGCCTTTGTGCGTGCTCCTGGCTTGTCCTCTTCTACTGCGGCGGAGGAGTCCAACTACGTGTGCTGCGCCTGATAACACGCCACCGCGCGGAAGTCCTGCACCCTTGGCCCAACTGGACCGACCGGGCCTTCCTGCCCCGCTACGCCCATCTGGACGAACTCCAGACCGACCCAGGGACCGCCGAGTCACCAAGACAGCGTCGACAAGCATGGTCCACCATCTACAGAGACAGCCGCTGCCGCATGGAGACCTGCTTCGACTTTTCTCGGTGCCGGCGCCGGGGACGCGAGGGGTTCAGGGTCTACATCTACCCATCAGAGAAAGGTGAGCGCGTGTCGGAGAGCTACAGAAAGATCCTGGCCTCCATCTCTGAGTCCCGCTACTATACGTCAGACCCTCGAGAGGCATGTCTGTTTGTGCTCGGCATAGACACATTGGACCGGGACCAGCTGTCAGGACAGTTTGTCCCCAACATGGACGAACGCATCCGCAGTTACCCTTCATGGAACGATGGGCGGAACCACCTGATCTTCAACCTGTATTCGGGCACCTGGCCCAACTACACTGAGGACCTGGGCTTCAACGTGGGCCAGGCCATCTTAGCCAAAGCTAGCCTGAACACGGAATACTTCCGGCCCGGTTTCGACGTGTCCATCCCGCTCTTCTCCAAGGATCACCCTCAGAAGGGGGGGGGACGGGGCTGGCTCCTGAGGAATACCACGCCGCCGCGGAGAAAGTACCTGCTGATGTTCAAGGGGAAGCGATACCTGACCGGCATCGGCTCCGACACCCGGAACGCTCTTCATCACATCCACAACGGGAAGGACATTGTTTCCATGACGACCTGCCGCCACGGGAAGGACTGGGAGAAGCACAAGGACGCTCGGTGTGACCATGACAACCTGGAATATGAGAGGTAAGGTCACGTGACCAGCTGTGAGGGCGTGGTCTTCCTGTCGCTTCTGATTCCCTCTGAGGTCAGGGCGGCGCCTGAGCAGTTAGATCCATCCTCATCATCTAGTTAGCTCAGAGTACCGCCGAGTCCGAGTCCTTCCAGGCACCGATCCAGTTAATAACCGGTCAGTTTAAAGTCGTAGCAAAGCGGCTGTTTCAACCGTTTCCGAATTCTCCCGAGTGGTGCACGACTTTACACGACTGAATAAAGTGAATGTGATTGGTCGATTATCAAGGAGGCGGGATTGTTGTGGCGGAAGGTTTGCAAGCAAGTTTGGTTGTGGCTGGTTTGTCCGAAGCATGTTGCTAACCAGTTAGCATCTTAGTGCTAGCAGGTTCCCAATGGGAAATTCCATTGGGACCAAGTAGCACTAAGTTGCTAACCAGTTAGCATCTTAGTGCTAGCAGGTTCCCAATGGGAAATTCCATTGGGACCAAGTAGCACTAAATTGGTGACTTAGAAACGACGCTGTCAAGGAACGCTATGGACAGAGGAAACATGCAAGAGGAGGAGAGTTTAGTGTCGGAGGTCGTGGATGAGTCTCCTCCGTCATCCATTTTTTATTTAGAGGAGGAAAGCGGGGACGAAGATGTTTTTAAATTTTGGGACAATATGGTCTGATGAAGAGAACATTTCTATACATTAAATATAATTTCGCTACGAATTTAAAGCTGTGCCTAAGCTGGTTCTGACGATGGAGTGGACCTTAATCCAAACAGCTGACACCAGTGGGAACCCAGAGCGCTGCCACTGGGCCCAGTTCAGATGATCCAGACTAACTGGGTCCAGTTTAGCTGCCAGAATAAAGCTGCTGTCCATGTTTGGAACGGGCCTCAAATCCCAACATCATGAGGAAACGATTGTTGGATTATAGCTGGAATCTCAACCGTTGGTTTGTTTTAACCACATAAAGGAAAGTTTGTTTATTTCCTCCTCAGCTTCTTATCCAATCAAATCATCTAGGAAGTTATTTTAATCCAATAACTTTAGACTGTCGCCTGTTGTTCTGTGAACAAACCCAACTGGCTGCAGACGAAGGTCACTGGTTCAAATCCTGGTGGGATATTTGGAATAAATTCACCACAACTTCCCCTGAAGTTTATTATCTTCATCTTCACGTCGCAGACTGAGCTAAAAACCAGTAAAACAAGCAAACTAAGATAAAACGAACACAAAGAAGAACGAATGAAAATGGTTAAAAACCAGAATCAACTAATTTAAGCCTGAATTTTATGTTTGAGAACCAAAGTTTGTCTGAAAGGATTTAAGATAAACGTGATTAAATGTGTTCAAATCAATTCACAATTCAAACCCAAGAGATTTAAAAAAAAACATAATTTGGTAAAAATAATTTAAGTTAAAATAAAGTTAATGTTTGTTTATTTATAGAGTGGAGCTAATAGCAGACAGGACTGGGTTTAAATAAACACTGTTTGGTTATTTTGATCAATAATTTTAGAAAAGGGTAATCAGCCTATCAGGAAACAATAATGTCCCATTTAAGCCCTCATTAGCTTTCTAAACATTAGCATTAGCGGTTACCATGTTAGCATGATTAGCTTCCCGCTAACTTTACCAAACAGTAACACCTGAAAGATCAGAAATCATCACAAACTTAAATGATTGAAGCTAAAAATCTTTCCCTAACTTTCCCAGACGCCGGCGGCGGGCGTCGCCCTCGGGTTCGCCTTCGGTGCGTCTCACGGCCCCCGAGGGCCCGAACCCGCAGGCGGCTCCCTGTAGCGCCCCCTTTATCTCTGTGGAAAGATGGCGGCCACACTTTATCCTCGACAGGAAACGGTTTGAGATATAAAAACACGTCAGCACAAGAAACGCAACACGAGGAAAACATGTAAGAAAACTTTGGAGGCGGAGCCTCATGAAGTTCACGCTGACATTGAGCATCAGCTGGATGTTCAGTTTGTCCATGAAGGCCGTCGCCTGATGAGAGGGAAGTTTATCATGCGGCGCTACAGATGCATCCACAGGTGGCCGCGAGTAGGGGTGGGTGGGGGGGGATGTTGGCGCCATAACATCCAGATAAGGTTTGATAAGGTGGGGGGGGGGGCTCCTGGCAGAGCGTCTGCCTCCATGTTTGGACGCCGTTTCTTTCACTCTAATGATCTATAACTGATCATTCAGGAATGGGACGGGGCTGGGGCCCCTGGAGGGCCCCTGGAGGCCCCCCTTTTTCAGCTGCTTCGGCTCTCCTTCCTTTCCTGTTTCTCAGTTGCGGGCCCATCTATGGGATCTAGTTCTCAGCTGAAGGCAGTCGGGCCTTTCCGTTCCTCCAGCAGCTCATTCCCTCCTGTTCTGTTCTTCCATGTTTGGCGTCCGCTCCATCAGACCTGGACCTCGGAGTTGACCCAGAGGGCGGGTCTGTTATCTGACCTTCAGCAGCGCTCGCCAGAATGCGGTTCCAAGTTTTATAAATGGAGGAAGAACATTTCCGGCAGAGTCTGAGGTCTGGATGAACTATGCGTGGCGAGCGGCTCTGCGGCGGTTCTGATCCGAGGAGCCTCCTCGCTCCGTCTGGCCTGTTTATGTTGGATCAGGCATGAAGCTATGAATATGCTCATTTATCCCACAGACCACAGGGACGGCGGGGGGAGCGGGGGCTGCTGGGGGCTGCTGGGGGGAGGGGTTGGCCTAGATGGTCTCTGACTCATGGGGCCTGTTAGGGTGGAGGAGATGGTGGCGCTCTGCTCAGGCTGCTTAGAGGGTGGCTTCAGGTTAATGATCCGCCGCACCTGCTGCTCCAGCAGATTAACCTGGAGGGACCGGGACAACAAGTCATCCGAGTCACGTCCAGAATCAGCAGGGAGGAGGAGGAGGAGGAGGAGGAGGAGGAGGAGGAGGACCTGTTCTCCTCGTCCTGCAGCAGATTGGATGAAGAAAAGCTGTAAAGCAGCTTCTAGGCGTCTCCATGACGACGTCTATTTCTACGTTATTAGAAGAACAATAATGATCATTGTTCTTCTAATAATTATTACATAAACTCCTCAGCTTTCAGAAATAATTATTAATTATTTTCTCTCCAAATAGAGCGTTGTCATGGCAACGCTGCTGCCACATTATGCAACAAAAGGCTGATTGTTGAGAAGCATTAATGGACAGCGATGATGATGATGATGATCAGATGCTTTTGATGGATCCAGTTAATCAGTGACTCCTAAAAGCATCAGGCTCTGCTCCTCCCTGGGCTGCTCCTCCTCCTCCTCCTCCTCCTCCTCCTGGAGGAGAGGACGGCTCTCTCTCTCCTTCCTCAATCATTGATCGCAGGAAGGATGAAGCGGAGCTTCTGTTCACGGCCAGGATCTTTGTCTGGGAGGATTTAGAACGGGGGAACAGGAGGTTCCTGGGAATGGGGGGGACTGGGCTCCCCTCCTGAGGGAGGCGGGAGGAGGCCTGAATGAATCCCAGAGGGCAGGAGGTGACGGAGACAAAGCAGCTCTGCAGCCTGATGCTTCCTGAAGGAACTACGGCTGAATGCAGATCAGCTGCTGCTCAGGCTGGGGGTTCTGTGGAGGGATAGAGCTGCTGAACATAGAGCTGCTGATATAGAGCTGCAGACATAGAGCTGCTGACATAGAGGTTCAAATATAGAGCTGCAGACATAGAGCTGCAGAACATAGAGCTGCAGAACATAGAGCTGCTGACATAGAGGTTCAAATATAGAGCTGCAGACATAGAGCTGCAGAACATAGAGCTGCAGAACAT